ATAAATAAATAAATAAATAAATAAATAAATAAATAAATAAATAAATAAATAAATAAATAAATAAATAAATTCCATGAGTGAGCAGAATTGTCTGAGTGAGCAGAATTGCTGGAAAGATGTTGAGACTCTATACAACTGGTGCAGTGATCTCCTGAGGTAAAAGTTTTGGGTAAAGTAAGGAACCACAGTTAAAACTTAGCCTGGACACAGAAATGTTTTAAGAGAATTATACAGAAAATCAAAAACAGGCCTCACCAAAAAAGACAAAAAAGTCAGAAATGAAAACCCAGATTTCTGAAGCAGACCAAGTTAGCGTTGAGAGAAATATGGAAGTTAGGCCCTCAAGCCCACTTGTTGTTGAGGGTCCACAGAAATTAGAAGTACTGTATGTATAGAAATTTGAAAAAGAAACAGAAAAAGAGATAAAACTAAGAACGTTAGAATTAGAGAAGGAAAAGGAGATACGATTAACAGAGAAAGAAATGGAATTTTAGTTAAAAATGAGGGAATTATAATTGACAACCAGTTTCTCAAATCTTAATAGCACCAATAATTCTCCTCAGACAGATATGAAGATATTTCCTAAATATTATAAAGGAGATAATGTTGACTCTTTTCCCACAAATTTTGAAAGAACTTGTACAGATTCAGAAGTTTGAGACAAAGAAAAAATAGGATATCTCTGAGCTCAGTGTGGTAGCTTAGCTTTGATTGCTGGCTCCTAACAGAGCACCACTGAGGAATAAAGGCGAAGCAGGCCCATGGAGCTCATGACCAGGGACAGTAAACAGGAGTTTGACAGGAAGGAAAGGTAGGAAGGGAAGGACAAAGTATGTGCTCAGCTTACTAGGAAAGGGGTGTGTATTTAAGCAGCAGGATCTTATGCTCTGCTTAAGAGGAAGGGGTGTGAAAAGGGTCAGTTGCCCTGTCAACTAACATAATTCTCTGAAGCAAAAGTTTCTGGTAAAGTGGTAGGAGAATCAATGGAAAGCTGGGCAGAGAACAAATAATGAAGTAGTGATTTCCTGAGGAAAATGTCTGTGGCCGGCATCTTCAGAGGGGAGGAGCTAGAAACTCTGTCTGTGTTCTGGCCACAGAGACGGGCAAAACGTTAGGAAGGAAAACCTCTAAAACATAGCCAAACAGCCCAGAAAACCTACAAGAACCATCGGATCATGGCTGTGAAAGCCTTCGAGAATATGTTTTGGTTTAAGTTAGGAGACACTGATAAAACTTAGTCCATCAGAGCAATTCAATGAGATAAAAGTCTGAGGTAAATTAGTAGGAGAATTGCTGCAAAGCTGGTGAGACGACTGCTCAGTAGGAAGAGTATGTGAGTGTCCTGATTGCTTGGATCCTAGCAGAACACAGCTGAGGAATAGAGCAGAAGCAAATGCAGGGAGCTCATGAACAGGGACAGTTAACAGGAGTTTGACGGGGCAGAGATAGGAAGGAAAGGTCTACTGGAGGAAAGGACACAACAACGGGAGAGATCAAGGAGACAGAGGAAGAAAGCTGTATAACAGTGGACTTTCCTAGGTACATTCAGGCTAATAAAATAAAGGAAAATGATACTCATAGACAAACAGATCAAAGCGAAAAGCTAACAGGGACTATAGAGGGAAGAGACACTTCAGTTGTGGTGATCTGCAAAGTCTGTGCAATGTTTGTCTTTGTGCCTGAGTGTACACATGCAGCAAGTGCAAACTGGTGGCACTCTTAGAAGAAAAAGTGAGAGAACCAGAGCATCAAGTAGCCACACTTAAGGCTATAAGGGAAGATGAAGTATACACTGACAGAACTCTTGAACAGCAGCTGCCGTCAATTGGAGGAGGAAGAGCAACAAGGGAAGGAAGAGGAGGAGGAGAATGTCAAGGAGAGAGAAAACACAGTGGGGGAAGAGCCATGGAAAAGACTCACAGTGAGGAGCAAAAGAAGAAGATGATCTTCACCAGTGGAACTGGGAAACTACTTTCAGGTCCTTGATCAGGACAGCAGGTAGATGAAGCCAAAGAGAAGACTACGTAGGAGTGCATGAGAGGGACTGAAACTCAACTAAGCAGAAGCATTGAATCCACACCGTATAAAAAAGATGAGAAGAGTAGTTGCAGCAGTTCCATCCTACTACATGGGATGGTAACGGAAGTATGCCAGGAAGTTCCATGGACCCGCCAGGTATACACTGTCTCCCTGGAGCACAGAATAGGGATGGAACAGAAAGATTGCCATCACTCATAATACCCACAGATACATATCCATTTCTTTTTGGACACGTGGCAACAAATGAAACAGCCAAGAGCAACTTTGAAGAGGTCATACCAGATTTTTATGCTCTGGGAAGAAAACTTATGGACACTGGGGCCCAGATAGTTTTCTCATCCCTCCTACCCGTACTCGGAAGAGGAATAAAAAGGGAAAGGAAAAATACTCTGGATGAATGACTAGCTATGAAGGTGGTGTCGAAGTGAGGATTTGTTTTTTGGGAACATGGGCTAAGCTTCCAGGAAGACGGACTGCTAGCAAGAGATGGCTCACACCTCACAAGGACCAGGAAGAATGTGTTTGACCACAGCATGAAGAACGTCATCAGGAGGGTTTTACACTGAATTGGAAGGGAAAGGAAGTCACAAGCACAGATGAAGCAATGGGGATCAATAACATTAATAATAATATCCATTAAAATGTACAAAGACAAACAGGCCACAAATCTCCGGTGTCTATATACAAATGTTAGTAGTTTTGGGGGATAAACCAAGAACTGGAAATCTTAGCTCAGCAGGGTTAAACCAATTTGATAGGAATAACTGAAACTTGGTGGTGTGACCCTCACAACTTGAATACAGCAATTGAAGGATATAAATTGTTCAAAAAGAAGAGAGAGAATAGAAAGGGAGGTGGAGTGGCAGTACAGTGGTGCCTCGCATTACGACGTTAATTTGTTCCAGCGAAATCGTTCCAATGGGGGAAATACCTCACCATCCAGTGAAGATCCTCCATAGGGGCGGCCATTTTTGGGTGCCTGTGCAGCGAAAAATGGCTCCTAAACACAGCGGGGAGCCATTTTGAGCACCTGGTGGCCATTTTGAAAACCCGACGATCACCTGTTTTGATCGTCGGGAACAGATCATCATGCAGCGAAATTCCCCCATTCAAAACGTCATTTTGCGATCGCTTTGGCGATTGCAAAGACCTCGTCGTAATGCAGATTCGTCGTTAAACGGAGCACCCGTCTTGCGAGGTACCACTGTATATGTTAAAAATATGCATTCCTGCACAGAACTACAGCAGGA